CGCAACGGGATCTCCCCAGGCAAGGTGACAAAAATCATCTTTCCAGTTTACTCAGGTGATGATCCGGTACCCTGGATTTATCGAGCTGAACGTTATTTTGAATACCATGAGACCCTGGCGCATCAACGAGTGCCTATTGCCTCCATCCACCTAGATGGGGAGGCCATTATGTGGTACCAATGGTACCGGAAAACCCACCCCTAGACTACTTGGATGGACTTCACCGAATCCTTACGTGTGAGGTTTGGACCATCTGGGTACAAAAACTTTGATGAACCACTGTCCCAGGTCAAACAAACTGGTAGCGTACAAGAATATCAGACTGAGTTCAAGAGGTTAGCTACCCATGTGCATGGTTGGCCTGAAACTGCTCTGGTTGGCTGCTTTATTGGAGGATTACGGGAAGACATAAGGATTGAAGTGAAATCACTTCAACCTTCAACCCTTATTGCTGCTATCGGATTAGCTAAACTCCAAGAAGACAGGCTTAACCGATTAAGGAAGTCCACTAGACCTGTTGGACCCACAACCGGACCTCTGTTATGAAACCCACCCAATCTAGGGGATTCCACCCCAGGACCATTACTTCCCACCCCTGGAACTAAACCCGAAATTCCAGCACCCAAGAACCCCAGAACCATGATTGTACCCTACAAGAAGTTAACCTGGACCGAGATGCAGGCCCGTCGTGAGAAGGGGCTATATTACAACTGTGATGAAAAATTTGCCTTGGGGCATCGGTGCAAGACCCCGCACATCTACTTATTGCAAGTTGAAGAAGAGGATGCCGAAAGTTGGACCCATCAAAGCGGGTCCATCTATGAAAGTTGAATATTATGTGATTTCCTTTCAAGCACTTTCAGGATGCTAGACCCCACGTACCATGAGGGTTGAAGGGTGGATTAAGGCCCAAAAGGTGGTTGTACTAATTGACAGTGGAAGTTCCCTAAATTTCATCACCCCTGGGTTGACTCGGAGACTCAGATTGGATGTGGAACCCATAGCTCCCTTTGCTGTCAATGTGGCCAGTGGGCAAGGGATCAAGTGTGAAGGAAGGTGCATATCTGTCAGGTTCCACAGTGGATCGCCTGTGATTCTGGTGATTGTGGACCGCTTGAGCAAATATGCTCATTTTTTAGCGTTACCGCAACCATATACAGCTTCCATAGTGGCTCAGGCCTATGTTAAGGAGGTAGCCAAATATTCTGGCCATAGCATATGCCTGAGCAACCATAGCATATGCCTGAGCAAACACCCTGTTTTGTTCTATAATAAACTCAAGGTTGAGTCCTATAATAAACTCAAACACCCTGTTTCGTTCCATGAATTTTCTAAATGTCTCCGCATCCTTGGTGCTCTCCCATACCACTGTTTCCATAACATCAATCTCCTGGCATAGTGACTTCAACATTGAGTAGTAGACAGCTACACTCTTCTCCCCCTGTTTCAGATTTTTCACATCATTCTTCAGCTTGTAGGCCCTTGCAACATTCAATTTCTAAGAGTACATTTCTGTAACACAATCCCAAATCTCCTTAGCTGAAGCCATCCAAAGATAATGTTGACTTATGTGAGGCTGCGTAGGATTGACTAACCATTCAATCACTATGTAGTTCTCCTGCATCCACTTCTCATATGTAGGATCAACCTTTGTTGGTTTCTCCTTACTGCCCGTGAGAAACCCCAATTTACCTCTACTACAGACAAATCTTTATAGATTGTGCCCAGGCCAAATAATTTGTTCCATCCAGTTTGATTGTAGTCATCACTCTTGTCAAAAGGGAATCTACTAGACCAACCCCCGACATCGGGATCTACTTCATCTCACTTCCAAATTTCTCTATTAACCAAACGAAAATCAAAAAACAAGGTTTTCAATCTTTATAGACCTAACTGAGGTCAATTCAACACCAAAAGGTCCCAAAACTAGGGTTTTACTACACCCGGCTTCCGGGGAGAAAGAGAGAAGAACTAGCCACTCCTACCAGAGCTTCCCAAACCTCTTCCGATTGCAATCGCCCACTTCTAGAGATCAAAAGGAGCCCTCCAAGCCTTGAGTGCCACGCCCAAACAGTTTCTTTAACCTGTAACTAGGAACTCTCTAATCGGCTAGGGTTTTGGGCAAAAATCAGCAGCCCCACCTTCTTGGCAATCTACAGCCAGATTTTGACTCACCAAACCCTCTACCAACTTGGCAAAAAAGTTCTCTGAATCATCAGCAACTTATCTCTCCAATAAAAGAACAGTAAAATATTTCAGATTATAGGAGAATAGAAGAATAAGAAGAAGAAAACAGCAAGAAGAAGAAAAAGATGGAGAAGGGAGAAAGGACTTCGATAATCTCCTTTCACCCCTCATTAATTCTTTTATTAATCTTCATTAACTAGGTTAATTAAAAGTCTGCCCTTAAGTGGGCGGCCAGCTAAGCAAGAACTTTAAAAGAACTTATAAAAGAGATTAACAGGCCCATTAACATACAAAACAAATAACATACTACTTAAACATAAAAACAGATACTAGGGCCCATTCAGCTCAGTCTCTTTACACCATTCTTCCCAGAAAACAGCAAAAGGAATGCAACTCCAAGCAATCTTTGACTTGATATTTCCTCTCATAGTTGGAAACCTAGTCAATATAACTCCTTTTCCGAATTAGGCTCCATCCAACTAGATTTGAAGAGCCCAAAGAAAGAAACCCCAGATGAATTTAGAGTAGGGGCAACCAATAAACAAGTGATAGACATTATCCTTTGCATTCTCACATAAATAACACCTACTAGCCAAATGAAAGCCTCTACTCTCAATATGCTTTAAGGTCATAATGCTATCCAAGCAAAAGCTTCCACCCTTTGAGGAATGGGATTTCCCCAAATCCCCTTTACCTCAGAATTTCCTCCATCATTCCTTGGAGTTATAGCATAATCATAATTGTCAGAATCTTATATTTATGATACCATTGATAATTCATGATACCAATGCATGTTAATTGCAATATTTTCAACCTTTGGTCAGAACAGTTGACCTGCCATCCCGCCAAATTTTGGATCCATTTCACTCCCAAACTGACTTGGTAATGACCAAGTTACCCAACCAATTAAACTGCTGAACCATATGACCTGGTTAGTGGATCATAGATTAGACATTTATTTTCCTTTCCTTTTGTTAAAAAATGATTAACATAAAATATTAGACGCATGCCCACATGGAGACTGCTGAGAGGATTCTTAGGTATCTCAAGAAGTATCTAGGGCTTGGTTTGTTATTCCAAAAGCATGGGCATTTAAAGGYGGAAGTTTATATAGATGTTGATTGGGCTGGATGATAGAAAATCTACCAGTGGATATTGCACTCTCGTGTGAGGAAATTGTGTCACATAGAGGAGTAAGAAACAAAGTGTGGTATCTAGATCCAATGCCGAAGAATAATACAAAGTTGTCCCATGGTATTACTGAAATGTTGTGGATAAAAAAAAAAAGAAAAAAAACTGTTAGATGAATTGGGATTTGTTATTGATAGCCCTATGCCATTGTACTGTGACAACAAGGCAGCTATCAACATTGCTTCCATTCTGGTTTTTCATGATAGGACCAAGCACATTGACGTGGACAAACACTTTATCAGGGAGAAAATCATGAGTGGCAAAGTATGCACTCCTTATGTTAGTTCTAAAGAGCAAGTTACAGATATCTTCACAAAGGGCCATCATCACCTATGACACAATGACTTGTGTGACAAGTTGGGCATGATTGATATCTATGTCCCAACTAGAGGGAGAGTGTTAATTGTATTTGTACTTAGGCCGCAAGGGCTTTTTGATCTTTGTACATCTTTTTTAATTTTTTAGTTGAGTCTCCCTAATATAAATAAAAGTGTTGGCACCACCAACCTAATCTTTTTTACTCTAAATCTTTCTTCCTCTCTTCTCTCCGTTTTCCTCTCTCTTCTCTCTTTTCTCTAATTTTCTAACACGTTCTACTAAGAAAACAATGGCAATGTAGTGTCATGGAGAAGTTAGAAATAATTTGTTGTAGCTCGATCTAGTGCAGAAGCTGAATATAGAGCAATTTTCTATGGTGTATCAAAATTTCTATGGTTGAAGGGTTTGCTGATAGAGATTGGGATACAAACAGGAGTTCCAATGCGGATATACTGTGATAATCAAGTTTCCATAAATATTGCACATAATCCTATTCAACATGACCACACAAAACTTATTGAAGTGGGCATATACTTCATTAGAGAGAGAATTGCCAATGGAGAGATTTGCTTGCCTTTTGTCAAGCCAGAAGATCAACTAGCTGATTGCTTAACCAAGGGGGTTTCCAAACCAAAACATGACAACAATCTTAGCAAGCTAGGCATGATAGATATCTATGCTCATCTTGAGGGGGAGTGTTGAGAATATGTTTTGTTTGTAAGGGCTTATTTGTCTTTTTCATCTATTTGTATTTGGGCACCTGAAGCTAAGGGCACATATGTAATTTGGCCACCTAGTATAAATTCTTCTGTGGGAGTGAACAGTAACACACCCCATACATACGAACATTTCTTCTCTTCATCTTCTTCCACTTAGCTCAAGTTTTACATCTCAGTCCATTTGCAGCCCTATCTTTCCATGGGTCCACTACCTATAGATTGTTGTTTTTCCTAATGTGTTGCACCCTGGCATTATTTGTTATGATGTATATGGTGGACTCGGATCAAGTCCCATCTATGTCCAACAGGATTTGGACCCGATCCGAAATCCCTAACTCCAACCGGATTTGGATTTGGCTGGTACCTATACAAACTGAACCCGACTACATCCCTAATTCCAGGTGTTTTTATTAAACTGAGCTATCATATTGCTTCCTTGCCCATCCACACAGTTCTTATCACTTGCAATTGTAAACTTTTACACTCTGTTTAAGTTCTTCTCAGGTATATAGAGTAGAACAATTGCCAGAGCATTGTTTACTTCATTTATATTGCTTCCTAATTTTCTATTTCTTTGTTGAACAGAGCTCGTCAACATGATAAAAGAGTGAACAGAAGAAGATCAGAAGTAGAGAATCCACTTCTTGATGGTCTTCTTGTCCAAGAGTGAGTAATGAAGAAACATTGTTGTCCTACCTTTCTTGAGGCTTAATTCTTTCAAACTACCTCCATACTAACTTTCCTAGGTTTAGCAGTCATTTTATGTGCATTGTGTGCTCCTCCTTAACACAAAGGAGCTTATAAACTGTACTTATCTAATTCTTGCATTTTATTAATTTAGATATAGATATAATAGTCAAATAGGTCTTAAGGAACTAGGCACAAAAATGTTGTTTTAAGGTCTGTGGTTTTGCTATTTGTTCATGGAGACACCTAGAGCGAGTTTTTTTCCCCTTCTTTGGGGAAGGAGGTGAGGGGGTTTTACTGTATCATTTTTTATTGTATCAATACTCTCCACAATTTATCATTATTTTCTTATTAGAAAGTTTGACTATTTGAAATTTTGTAGCATTTCCTCCACTCCCATGGATATCCCATTAATCCAGGTCTATAATATTTGGAAGCTTGTGTTTATCAGGATTTGAATGCTTTACCATAGCCCTTGTATTCCTTACAGTTACGTTTGACTATTATGGAATTCATGCTGTAGAAGCCTCTGAAAATGCCAGCTTAAGTCTTGAATCACAGGCTTGTTGCAGGATCCATGTATCTTTCTGCAAGTTGGTAAGAGTTGTAATTAGAGCTTCACTTCATTTAGGATATCACATTTCTCATGCATGTTCATCTTCACTCCTTGAAAGGTCCTGAGCATTTCAATGATGGACATGTAATCAGGTTGAATGTCAGCCTGAAAAGAAAATTTCAAGCCGTAATACAATGCTGGTTATGTGTCCATCAGTGGGGCACTTGAAAGGATACTTGTGTCCATTCAAGGAGCTAATTTCTTTGCTTTCTTGGGCCACATAGTGTCCTTTTTCTGTTTCTTGTTGACCAGTAAACGATCTTAGAAATTTTCGTATCCAAGAGTTGGTTAAATTATTTAGGAAAAGTAAACAATTGGAAATCAGTTCATAGTTACCAAATCAGCCAATGTATCTAATATAGGAATTGTTTCTTATTTCCTGCTTTTGATTAAATAATAAGAAAACCTAAGGTGATGTTTGGGACTGCAGTGTTACATTCCCATTTATAATCCACATCAGTGCCAAGGTTCCAAGTATCAAAGACGCAAAGAGTATTGGAAAGACAACTTTAAGAGACATAGGGATACATTTTGGAGTCACATTGATGCAGTGGAAAAATTAAGATATGCATGAAATATAAGGGGAACTTAGTTTGACACCATAAATACATTGATGAAACCAAATATAAGGCTCAAATAATTATATATAAAGTATAAACAAAAAATATATATTGTAATAGTTTATATGGAATATTAACCATCAGAATACACACAGAAAATTAGAAAATAGTAGGATTAAAATATGCATGTATATTTGTATAGATAAGGAAAGGCCATCATCTTTAACAAGTCGGTATCATACAGCATAAATGTAAAGGCCATCATCTTTGATGTTAGTAACCAGGGTTATATTCCTGCAAATAATGTGATTTTCTTTTAGGAAAATTACCTAAATATAACCTGAGGTATCTGACAAATATTAAAACATACCCTGTGGTTTCTGAAATTACTTAAATATACCATGTCAAAACATACTACTGTAATGATTGATGTAATTGGTTAAAGGACAAAAATGCCCTTCACAAAGTATTGATAAGAGGAGTTCTTAATGTTAGTAAGAGAGAGTTCATAATACTTGAAGTTTGTTAGTGACCAGTTAGTTTGGTCCCCCAGTTTTTGAAGGAATCTTAATGATTGGAAAGTGGATGCAMTTCAAAATGTTTTAGGGATCTTGCAGTAGGTTCATGTTAATCTCAGCTCTAGTGACACTAGAGTGTGGACTTGTGAAAAGAGTGAGCTGTTCACTATAAAATCTTGTTATGCAGCCATTTCTCGTGGTGTTAAAGTGGCCTGGTCCTGGATTTAGAAGAGTCATGTTCCTCTGAAATTTGTGTTCCTCTTATTGCTTGCGGCAAAGGGAAAAGTCCGAACAGTGGACATTCTACTTAGGCGAGGCTTGAACTTCGAAGGCACCTGTAGCTTGTGTGGACAAGCTCCTGAATCTGTGAATCATTTGTTGATTCACTGTCCGTTTACCTTTCAGGTGTGATGCCATTTTTCTGGGCTCTTTCATATCCAGGGTGTCTTACTCCTCTCTGTAGCTGATCTGGAGGTGTGGTGCCATTTTTTTTCCGGCTCTTTCATATCCAGTGTGTTAAAGTGACGTCACCTAACAAGGTATATTAAAGTAATCTCAGAAACCACAGGATATGTTTTAGTATTTGTCAGATGCATCAGGGCACATTTAAATCATTTTTCCTTTCTTTTAATAGAAGAGTATTTGAGTTTAAATTAAGAGACTTGAAAGTGTGAGTTAATGGGGTGATAGTTTTTATTAGGGTTAATAAGTTATTTAATGGGAGTAGAGTGAGTTGATGAGTGATTGAGTTATTTAGATTAAAACAGATCGATATATTGGGTTGGTATCAGGTTTGCATTAAGAGTTCTAGGGGTGGGGTAGGAGTGAATGAGGGAGGAATGTTGTGGTTTAATTCCCTGGTGTGGATGTTTGGTTTGTTCTGCTGCTTAGGGAGCAGTTCATTATTGTGGGTGATTGTTGCATACTCTATTTGGTGGTTTCCTTGGGTTGTGTCTTGTGGTTTTCTTTTCTTTTTCCTTTTTTGTGTATTTTTTTTATAGGCCCTTTATAGATGCTGGTCTTTGGTCTCTCTGGAAGGTGGCTTGGTTTTTTGACTGGGCAGATTCCGCGTGTATTCTTCTATTTAGATGCCCCAAGCTAACCACGTCTGGTATTTTGAATCAATCAGCCATGATAAAAGAAATATCAAGGAGGATGTTGCCCATAGATTTAGAACTAGGGCTATCAGTGGAGTCTGAAATTTCGGGACCCAATCCAATTATTTTGGATTTCGTTTTTTTTTTACATAATAAGTAGATCATATTCAGATTTTAAAAGTTGTGGCTGTTTAAGAATCAGATTGGATACAGGATCTAACCATATTCAATTGTTTTAAGAGCTAAATTCCAATTACATACATGCACGCATACACATGAGAGTGATTAATCTTTTCTTTATTTTTAAAGATTGTGAAAACTCATATTAAATATGAAATCTGATAGGATTCGAATCTAATTCAAGACCCCCATATCTAATGCATTTCATATCAGTAGTTAGGGTGTCTTGGCATAGGATGTCTCCTGCAGGTTTTTGCCATGGATTTGATGGTTAGGGTTTGTGGTTCTCCATCTGGCTTCCGTGGTGAGGGTTTATATTTCTCGCTCTCTTGGTGTTCTGATGTTCAGTGGTTAGGGTTTCTAGTGTATGATACACCAAAGATGCCACCAAACCATGAGGTTTGGTGATAGTTCATGTAACTCCTAATCATTTATCTTTTGGAAATGGTATTCAATCTATTTGGAATGAGTAAAACCTACTAGTCACTTGGAGATGCCTAATATTGGGGCTGCAACTTGTCTTGAAATTCAGAATAGAATAAGGGGTTGAAAAATATGAACATGACTTAGCTTAGGGTTGGGTGAGGAAGGCCTTGGGCTACCCAAACCCTGAAATGTCTTTATATATGCATGTAAATGTATCCATGTGTATTGGTATGTGTTTATATGCATGTGTATGTATGTAAATATGCAACCATGCATAGTTGAATTTATATATTTTATATGGGAAAATCTATGATGCCAGAAAGCTTTGATACCCGAAGAGCATTGACCCATCAAAACCTCGGTGAATTCTGATGAAAATACCTCAGCTCGTGAGGCTCGCAATCCTAATCGAACTTCTATATAATAATAATAATAATAATAATAATAATAATAATAATAATAATAATAACAATAATAATAATAATAACAACAACAACATGATAGAAAATATTATATATAATAAAAATGTTATATATATAATATTTTTATTTTTATATATAATAATAACTAATTATTGTAATTCTTAATTTTTTTAAATATCAAATAAATAATAATTTTTATATATACTTTTTTATTTTTATAAAACATTTTTCTCAAGTTGAGCTCGAGCCGAGCTTGAGCTAACGATCTTTTGACTTGAGTCGAACTTGAGCTCAAGGTTCTAACTCGAACCAAGCTCGAGCTCAAGCCTCATACTATCTTAGCTAGCCGAGCTCGAACAGTTGGTTTTTTGGCTCGGCTTGACTTGAATATACTCCTAGTTACCACTCTCATGATATCGGTTGATTGGTTGTAAGTTTCCTGATATAACGTCTTTTCGGTATCAAAGTCAAACTCATTTTATATATATGTATCAATAATTTTAAGTTTGAAAGGGAAAATTTTATGGTATAATATCATTACAATACTCATAATGCATCATAACTCTTCTTGTAAATGCTAAAATCAATGAACCTGAATCCACTAATCTTTAAGTCTAAGTAATAAGAAAAGTTTAGCAAAATAAATGAAGAAATTGGGCTGACAAAAACCAAACCTGATTTTTCGGGGTTGGGTTGGGGTTTTAACAATTCAGGTTGGGCAGCCCGACATGCATCCCTTCCACATATCTAAGTTTAAAAGGGAAAGAAAAAGAAAAGACTGATGATATTGTGCTATCCGTGTGTATAAGTAAGTATTAACCATGTACTAGTTGGGACCCATGTGATGCACGGACTTTGTTAATCAAATTTAAGTAAGAAAGAACCAGATGCTATTCCCAATTGACCCAAGCCAGGCTAAGTCCATTTTAAGCATTAATTTTGCTCAAGACCTCAAGTCCTATGATAAACCAAAAGTTCCGACCTTTTTATTTTTTAAGGCTGCACCCAGGCCTAGCCCTAGCTCGACCTTTCACCAACTTATGACTCGCCCAAGACCAAGACCAAGACCAAGACCAAGCCCAAGGCTAACCCAAGTGCATCAAATTTCAGCATGAGCTAGACTCGAGTTGAATAGATCAACTTGACTTTGGGCTCAAGCCTTAGGGCCTTAGGCACAATTCTTAGAATTGAACTTGGGTTGAATTTAAACCCAACTTAGCCTGCTTGACTTCAGGTTCAAGCCTTAAGCCAATTCCTAGGGTTGAGTTTAAACCCAACCTAGCTTGCTTGATTTTGGGCTCGAGCCTTAAGCCCAATTATTAGGGTTGAGCTTGGATTGAATTTAAACCCAATCGAGCCCGCTTGACTCTGGGCTCAACCCAAGTATTAGGGTTGAGTTTAAATCCAACTTAGTCCACCTGATTTACACTATCCATTTAAATGGAATTTACATAAACTTTGGATTAATAAAAATAATTCTATAATTAATGAATGTTATTATTTGCCAATGAAATATATGTGATTTTTAAATTAGAAAACAGCTTTAAAGCTAATGTATTTTT